ACCTCGGAAACCCAAGGAGGGGTCGCTATGAGTCACATCTGATTCCTTTGACTCCATGGCAGTAAGTTTGGGTTTTTCGTTTGTTTTTTTTTTCAGAAAGGTGTAAGAGAGTTCTAGCTGTTCCATATCCTTACCAACACTTGGCAATATCTGTTTTGTTTTTTTAACCTGTCATTCTAGTAGATGCATAGTAGTATCTCACTGTGGTTTTAATTTGCATTTCCCTGATGAGTAATGATGTTAAGCCACAATATATTCTTTACTGAGCCTTTCAGTTGTGGTGTTGGCAAAGACTGCTGAAAATACCATGGACTGCCAGAACAAACAAATCTGTCCTGGAAGAAGTGCAGCCAGAATGCTCCTTAGAAACGAGAATGGCCAGACTTTGTCTCATCTACTTCAGTCATGTGATCAGAAGGGACCATTCCCTGGAGAAGAATATCATGCTTGGTAAAGCAGAGGATCAGTGAAGAAGGGGAAGACCCTCAACAAGATGGACTGACACAGGGCTGCAATGATGGGCTTACGCATAGCAAGGATTGTGAGGATGGCGCAGGACCGGGCAGCGTTCCGTTCTGTTGTATATAGTCTAGGGTCGCTATGAGTTGGAGCCAACTCAACAGCACCTAACAACAACAAAAAGACTATAACATTAAGAGACAACCTACAGATTGGTAGAAAAATCTCTGGTAGTGATATAACCAATAAAGTTCTACTATTTAAAACATGCAAAAAAACTTCTATAACTTAACAAAAAGACAAATCACTCAATCCAAAACTGGCAGAGGACATGAACAGACACTTCACCAAAGAGGATATTCAAATGGCCAACAGACAAATGAAAAGATATTCAACACCATTAGCTATCAGAGGAATCCAAATCAAAACCACAGGGCATTTGACTACTAACCAGAAGGCTGGCAGTTCAAACCCACCAGCCACTCCTCAGAAGGAAGTTTGGGCAATCTACTTCCATAATGATACTGCCTCAGAAACCCAAGGAGGGGTTGCTGTAAGTCCGATCTGACTCAACAGCAGTGGGTTTGGTTTTGTTTTTAGGATGGCTAAAATTAAAATAAAATAACAAATGCTGGAGGGAACTGGAGAAATAGTAGCACTCATCCATTGCTGGTGGTAATGTAAAATGATGCAGACTTTGTGGTAGACAGTCTGGTGGTTCCTCAAAAAAGTAGAGATGCCATATGACCCAGCAATTCCACTCCTCGGTCTATGTAATAGAGGTGATGCAAACATACGCACACCTATGCTCATTACAGCATTATTCGCAATAGCAAAAAGATGGAAACAACCTAAGGGCCTATCAGTGGATGAGTGGATACATAATATGTACTTATATTCAATGGAATACTACTTAGCAATAGAGAAAAAGAAACTCCTGAAACATTTTACATCTTAGATGAACTTGGGGGGCAACATGTTGATAGAAATAAGTCAATCACTATATAGATGGATAGAATGTTCTCACTTATGGAATGATATGAACAGGTAAATATACAGAAACTACTGTTCATTAGTGGTTGGGTGGGGGAGGAAGAGAGAAGAGTACTCTCTAGGTAGTAGTCACTTGTTTATAGAAAGAGGAAAAGTGGCACCAATATGTGTGAAGTTTGCACAGCATGACTGATGTAACTGATGTTAATATATAGTAATAAATAGATAGGGAAAAGGGATGAATGAGCCAACTTAGGTCGTGTATGGTTTTGTAACAATGACTACCAGAAAAAGCTGGAGGGGCAGTTACTGATGCTGATACTAATCAAAAATGATCAATAACCTCATGGGATCAGTTCTCTTGGTTTGGGGGCTTAGGGCTGTGGTCTCCTGAGACAATCCAGTCAATTAGCATAATAAATTCTTAAAGTTTATGTTCTACCTCCCAGTATGGTGAGTAGTGTCTGGGCTCTTAAAAGATTATGAGCAGCCATATAAGATAGAACTATGGTTTTTAGTTTGTCTGGAACAAAAGGGAAAGATAGAAACTCAAGACTCAGAGAAGGAAATGAACTACAGGACCAGAATGAGATGGTGCCTGACTATCACTACTGAACACTCTGATCTGGAACACAATAAATGAATTCTGATTAAAAGGGAGAAGATGTAGAACAGAACTTCAAATTCTTAAAGAATCCAGACTTGCTGGACCTACTGAGGCTAGAGGAGTCCCCAAGACTATAGCTGAGTTGTTCTTCAAACCTTGAATTCAAACTATCCCCTGAAGTCACTTTTAATCTAAGTAACAGCCAAAAGAGTAAAGCTTGTCACTCTTGAGTATTTTGTTACTTAAAGAAAAAATTATGTTAAGACCAAAGGGTCAACGGCTATTTTAAACCTGTTGCGGGAGATGGGAGGCAGAGAGATTAAGTAACTTAAGTAAATGGAAGTGAAACAACCAGGGACAGATTACCCAATAAGCAAGGTAAGCATGAGCTTACTTCTGCTTACTTACTAATCTATATAGTGCAGTTTCACATGTTTAGTAGTCTGTAGTGCACAGTTTTTCAGTGAAAAACATGAGACCTCCATCCCTGTCAGAGACTTTAAATTTGAAAAGAGGTTTTGATTCTGTTAAGAAGGTGCTGTGGGGTTGGGAAAGGGACAAATGGTAGCTATACCTACAAGTGGAATCTTAGATGTAATTTAGAAAAAAAAAGAAGTGAAACTGTTCACTACAAATGAGTAAGCATAAGTAAGACCATGCTTACCTTCCTTATGCTGACACAATGTGAAGTATGTAACCAATGTCACTGATCATTATGTCTAGAAACTAGAATAGAAACAGGTTTTTCTGCATATATTTTCACCAAAAATAAAATTAACCACAAAAAAAGACTACACAACATTATGTACAGCGTATTACCAAAATGTTTAAATGTTTATATTTGGTATATGAAAACATCAGGAGGAAACAAACGACTGTAGGCAGTTGCTATCTTTGCAGAGGTGTTAGGATCTATTGTTTTTTGTTGCTGTTTGATTTTTGCTTCATGATCTATTTGCCACGCTTTCTGCATTTTTTAAAAAGTTAAGTGCTTCATTAATTTTTTAAAATTATTAAAACCACCAAAAAACCACCACCAATTTGTTCTTATAAATGACAAGATACAACGAGAACAGTATTATTATACGTAAAGTCAACAAGAAATATTTATTGAGCACCTGCTGTACATCCAGCATTGTGGGACGGCTGAAGGACACAGAGCAGTACAGGACATGGTCCTCATCCTTGAGAAGTTTACAGTCTTAGGGGGAAAGACAGGGGGACAGGACACGTGGGGAGCCAGCAGACAACAGTCCAGGCCACGACGTTACAGGAGCTAGAAGGTGTTTGGGGTCAGACCCACTAAGTGCTTTGGTGCTTCCAAGGGCTCAACCAGCGAGGGCTTACCCAATAAGCAAGGTAAGCATGAGCTTACTTCTGCTTACTTACTAATCTATATGGTGAACATTTTCACATGTTTACTAATCTGTACTGCACAGTTTTTCAGTGAAAAACATGGGTACTCCATCCCTGTCAGGGACTATAAATTTGAAAAGAGGTTTTGATTCTGTTAAGGTGCTGTGGGGTTGGGAAAGGGACAAATGGTAGATATACCTAGAAGTGGAATTTTAGATGTAATTTTTTTAAAAAAAAAGTGAAACTGTTTACTACAGATGAATAAGTAAGCATAAGTAAGACCATGCTTACCTTCCTTATTGGGTAATCTAACATTGGGCTCAACTTTTAATGCTGGGAAAGGCAACTGCTAAGCCTCAGTCCTCAAATCAGCCCTATCCACAGCCTTTATCCCACCATCTTAAAATACCTGACTCCTTGTTCAGCTGCTACTCAAAGTGCATTAAAATGGGGAAAGGGTGGGGCAAATGGGGAAGGTCCTTGGGTGAGTTCCAGGGGGTTGGTGTAGCCTGCTTCCTCCCAGAAAAAAAATATGACCCCTCATACACATACTTTTAACAGAGAGAGGTCCCCCATCAAGGAGGCCTGTCAACAAGCTAAGGTCCCCAATCCCAGAGCTGAAAGAGGTGAAGGTGATCGCTGCTTAAGCTGCCCGAGGTAGAACTGGTGAGCTCTACTTCTACTGTGTCCCTTCCCCATCCAGTCCACTGAGTTGTGGGGGGAAGGAGGACAGGCACCCTGGAGCTGCCACCCAGGGCCAGGAGGGTACCAGAGGGGGAGAAAAGAGGAGGGACGAGGAGCAGAAGGGGGTTTGAGAACCCACCTGGAAAAGAGCTGCAGCCCCAGCAGGGTTGAGGATCAAACATTGAGGCTGACTCCCCTGCAGAGGACAGAGAGGGCCTACAGAAAGGTGGGGTGGTTTGCTACAGGACCCTCCCTTTCCCCTGCCTTCCCAGGACAGAATGGGTGCCATGAGCCAGGAAGGTGCCAAGCCCCTAGCCCTGTTCCTAGGCTATGCCATTTCAAGTCTACCCTTCCCAACCTTAGAGGAAGTGAGGGGACCCCAAAGTTTCTGATGATGCCACACTCTGCTGGGCCTCTTAAAAGTGCTATCTGTTTACTTCTCAGATGATAAGGGATTCAGGTCTGAGAATCCAGGAGAGGGGCAGAATTCATAATGTCCATGAGACAGTGAACAGAGGGAGCCATGCCCCTCCAGAGAGTACCACCCAGAGGGTGAGGGTGGGAGGCAGAAGCTGCTGGCATGAAGCCAGTCCTCCCTTACCTCCAGGAGAGAGGACATGAAGAGCATAAGATGAAGAGGTTTTAAATAAGGATATGTATAATAAAAAATATCCAGCACTCTGATGGGCCTACTATTCTGCTGCTTACTTAGTTTTTTAAATAATTCTAATGCCAGAGGCTGGAGGGGTGGGATGGGGAACAGGGTATGTACATGAGGAAGAGTTTAAATTAAAACACAAATAATAATTAAGACACACAAACTGAAGGACTAAGTTAAACAATGTAGAAAGGGCTTGTGGGGACTCCGGGTTCCAGGAGTGCCACGCCGCCAATGACTGGGTTAAGGCTTCTTCTTGGAGAAGACCAGCCGGCGTTTGGAGTGGTAGAAATCTAAGGAGAGAGAACAGAAGTCAGCATGATGGGGGGGGGGGGGGGGAGAAGGTATACAACATAGCCACCCAACTAAGGCAAACTGCAGAGGGGTCACTGTCAAGTTTAGGGAAGAACTCTGGGAACCTCCACTGACTTTACACGGCATTCACTTCACAGATACAATTGGTAACTGGACCTACAACCATGGTTCTGCCCTAGAGCCAAGCAGCCCAGTACAATAGGTACAAGCCATATATGGTTACTTAAATTAAAATCAAATAACATTTAAAATTCAATTCCTCAGTCACACCTCTGTTGTTGTTGTGTGCCATCGAGTGGATTCCAAGTCATAGTAACCTTATATGACAGAATAGAACTGCCCGCCATACGTTTTTTTTAGGCTGTAATCTTTATGGGAGCCAATCACCAGGTCTTTTCTCTTGCTCCCACAGAGCAGCTTGTGGATTTGAACTGCTGACCTTTGGGTTAGCAGCCAAGTGCTTAACCACCGCAGAGCTCCTTTTAGCCACATGTTAAATGCTCAGTAGCCCCATGTGGCTAGTGGTTACCACACTGGATAATATGGAAACCGAACATTTCCATCATTACAGAGTTCTATTGGACAGCATTGCTCTACAGATTCAATTACATAATTCATGGGAAGTGTTCTGCATGGTATTGGCTCACAGAAATATTAGCTATCATTATATTATTATTCATTCTGACCCGGCTGCCAATTTGCTGGGGGAGCCCTGGCTTTGCCTCTCTGAGCTATTGGCCTGGTGCTCTAAGAATTGAATGAAATGTTTTAAAAATAAATAAATACATGGAATGTTTTCTAGAAGTCCTTGGCCCAGGGCCTGGCAGAGTATATGCTCAAACGTTAGCATCATTCAGTCATCATTTATCCAGTATCTACTATGTGCCAGGCCCTGTTCAAGGTGCAGGAGATTCAGCAATGAACAAGAAATTCAGATCCCTTTTCTCATTTTCTCCCTTTTCTCATCCTAGTGGAAACAGATAATATCCAGATAAGGAAGTAGCTGTTGACAGAAAATAGTGCTAAAGAGAACAAAATACACAGGGAAGGGGGACGGAAAGTGTGTATGAGAGTGTATGAGAGTGTGTGTGTGTGTGTGTGTGTTAAGAAGGGAAAGTGAAGTCTGGATAAAGTGACCAGAAAATTATTATCATTAGTCTTCTCTCCATTGCAAACTCACTATGGAGTCGTAAGCAAATCACTCTGCTTCTCTGAGTCTTGTTTCCTTGCCTATAAAAGGGTGGTACAAACATCTTATGGCATAGGATTTCTATAAGAGCTAAATGAAATCCACCTTAGAAATTTAGCAAAGGGCCTGGCATATAATAAAACCGACCAGTTGCCATAGAGTCAACCCCAACTCGTGGCAATCCTGTGTGTGTCAGAGTAGAAGTGCGCCCCACAGGGTTTTCAAGGGCTGATTTTTCAGTAGATCACCAGGCCTTTCTTCCAAGGTGCCTCTAGGTGGATTCAAACTTCCAACCTTTCCATTAGCATCTGAGAGCATTAATGTTTGTACCACCCAGGGACTCCTGGCATATAATAAGTATTGTAGCTATTAGATGTCAGCCAATAAATGTCATGGGTGCAGGCTTGCCGTGTGACCTCAGGCAAATCACTTCCCCTCTCCAGGCCTATGTCCCCCTCTACCTAGTAAGCAAGCTGAACCAAACAGATTGGCTCTTTGGCTCTCTGGTACACCATTCCCAGTAGTACCCGTTTTCCTGCACCTGTCCTCACCTGTCATGCTGGTCTGCCCCCGTTTCCGGCCCCGAGGTGCACCAGGGCCACCTGGGGACACTTCAGGCCGCTCAAGGGAATGAGGCACGAGGGTGCAGGACAGCGACAGGTCCACGTGGTCCCCCTGGGCCATCCCTTGAATCAAAACTGTTGAGGTACAGGGCCGCTTGCCCCCTCCCATGTCGTCACGACCCCCCCAAGGCTCCACAGGCAGGTAGAACTTCGGCAGGCCAAGGCCCTGCACACGCTCCCAAATGTAGTTGCCCTCCAGCGGTGTCTCAGTGACAAAGTCGAAGTTCCAACGTGCCCGAGCCTCTTTTAAGCAATCCTCCATTAGTACTTCACAGTCACGGCGCACCTGCTCTTCATCCACGGGGCCAAAGAGGCGGCGGCACACCTTGCTGCTGCATGGGATCTGACGGGCATCCCTTAATGGCTCCGACATGGCTCCTGTGGCTGAGACACAAGTATAGCCCAGGTCACTCAGGAAATCGGACCCTCCCTTACCTGGCCATGCTTTGCTGTGTGATCACCCCCAGAACATGAGGTTAAGACGGTATCTCTAGTTTCTTCTAGCTAATTTCCACCACTTCCCTCCCATAGGCTCCAGACCATCAAAAGGCACTGGGTAAGCCCAGCCTGGTACCTCCAAAGTCACCGAGGAAGTGGGCAGCTGAAGGACAGACTTATGTCAACAAAGACAGGTTTACTGTAATAGCTGGGGTCAGAGTCCCGTTTACTACCACGTATTATCAGCTGAAATCAGTTTGTTTTCCCCCCTGAGGTATCCTTAACAGGTGTGAATGCTCCAAATACGTGTGAATTGCCAGAGAACAGCAGTTTCCCAATCCAATCATGAGGTAAATTCCCAGAATTCCCAGATAAACAGCTCCTCCCACAGTGGGGGATTAGCTGGTTCATGTGAGGTGACCCAGCTCTGTAGCTTACAAGTATCCTGGAATTTGGGGTCAGAAAGACCTGGGTTCTAGTCCTGGCTCAACCAGTTACTTCCAAAACTTTAGCATGTCACTTAATGTCTCTGGGCCTCAGTTTCTTCATCTATAAATTAGAGCTGCATGAAAGGTCAAAGAGAGTGGCTGTGGAAGCACGCTCAGGCAATTGGTCAGTGAGTCCCCTGCAGGGAAGCCTGATGGCACAGAGTTGAGAGACTGTATCTTCATGGTCAAGAGCAAGGGCTCTGGAGCCAGATTGAGTTGGTTGGAATCTAGGGTCTGCTAGGTGACCCTGAACAAGCAACTTAACTTTTCTGGGCTCTAGTTTCTTTGTCTGTAAAACTGGGGCAGTAATAGTGAATGTCTCAGAGGGTAAGTGTAAAGATCGACTGGGTTAATGTAGGTAACGTGCCTAGAGCTACACTTTGTACAGAGAAGTGCTTGGAAAATGGAAAGCATTGTATCTCTCTACCTTCAGTTCTGGCTGAACTTCCTCCTGCCTCCTCCTCATCATTCCCACTCCACCTGCCACCCCACCCCAGCTATCAACTCCTTCAGACAGCAGCTGACAGGTGCTGTGGGCTGAGAGCCTTTCCCAAGGATGTCATCAGGAGGATAGCCTGGGGCTGAGGAGGGGATGGGTGGGGCTGGGCAAGGCCATGATTTCTCCAGGGCTGAGCCACATCCTGCCAGGCACATCAGGTGATCTGAAGTCTAGACGCCTTGCCCTTTGTTGCCTGCATCTAAGAAACCCACTCTTGCAGCAAAAGAAAAATTAAAGGTGGCTGGTCTACCCAGCTTCTCTCCTCCCACTTCAGGAGAGGGAAAACTTGGGGTGATTTGCCGAGGCAGGGACCCCTGGCTAATCAGATTCCTTTTTACTAAAGAAGAAACCAAGGTCACACAGTGGCCATGTGTCCTTGGCAGGGACTGGGTTTTTCCGGGGACAAGTCCCAATTTGCAGGCTCTTCTGAGCAGCCTCTTGGGATGAAGATCTGGACTCAGTGCCACACCTACTTCACCCCACCTTTTATAATGAGCAGGGGCCCACAATTTCAAGTCTCAACTGATTGGTGAGGGTTTAAAGGGTAGGAGCTCAAAAAGATACAAATCTTTCCCCAAAATCATACAGCTGAAAAGAGCAAGGATCAAAGCCCATAGAGGAGGCATGGGCAAATCAGCCCACACAACAGAGCCCTTAAAGAACCTTTGCCTTCCTCTCTTCAAGGCAAGGGTTGAGATTTATTTATATATTTTTATGCCAGGACTGGTTTAAGCACTTTATAAATATTTACCCTTCTAGCACAGGAGTATATATTAGCTCCTTTACACAGAAGAGAAAATCAAGGTTCAGAGAAGTTAAGTAACTTGCCCAAGGTCACACAGCATACAAGTAGATATGAATCCAGGCCTCTCGAGGATTTGAATCCAGGACTATCTGCCCTGAGCTCTGTGTGGTCAGCCCCTACACCATACTTCTTTTCCAATTTTGAAGTTTCCTGGGGGGCTTTTTCCAAAATATGCATTAATAGCCCTCCTTCCCTAGACCTTCTCAATCTAAAAGGAAAGGAATTCAAGAAACTAATTGGTACAGCTCCCCAAGTGACTCGGATGGGCTCTCTTGGAGTGCCAGTGAGGGGGCGCAGATGGGCTGAAGTGGGGATTCTAGGTCTCAATGCCCCATTGGCACAAGGAGGAGGTGGGTCCTGCAGGAACCTCTCCCTTTCTACCACTCCTTCCTTGAAGGCACTCATGGGCCTCCCCTCCCCCATCAAAATTCGCTCTTCCATGAGGTGGGTTATCCTAACTGTCGGCTCAGAAAAAATGCAAACACAAACCCTCGTTTTACAAACAAGAAAAACTTCCATTGTTGGCCTGCGTGCCTTAGACCAAAACCTAATGGTGGCTATTCAGCCATATTTTAATCCCCAGGTAAATAGTAAACTCTTAGTAAATACAGTTGAACCAATGGGGTACTTTTCTTAAGTAGCAGTTTGAGGAGAAGGACATTAGATCAGCTCAGGGTTAGCGGCGGGAAGGAAAGGCGGGCAAAGCCTGATCGCGATGGTAGGCGTGTTTGCTATTCTCTCCAAGGCCGGGCGGGGGCGCTGATATCCAGGAAATCACGCGCGGGGTGGGAGGTGCGTGGGCAGAGCTTTGGATAGCAGGAGGGACAAGTTGTGATGAGTCAGTTTCCTGCAAAGCGCTCCCCGCCAGCCAAAACTCCGCTTCCACTCCTATTGAGCGTCATCCTAGGAGAGGGCAGGAGGAGAGTGAGAAGGGGGGGCCCGGGCCGTGAACACGTCACGCTGAGCGGGCCCCGCTTCCGAAACCCCCGCTGCTGTTGGGAAACCGCGCGCACTCGCGCTGTCTCTGTCACACACACACGCACGCACGCACAGGCGCGCCGAGATCTGGCCCCTCCACCTTATCTCCACGCCCAAAGCACGGGATGAGTCAGATCCATGGAAAATAAAAATAGACGGGAACAACGAAAACAAAACCGCTCGAAAGTCCTCCCAGAAACGCAACGTGGAGGGAGGCAGGCACGGAGCTGCCCAAGCTGTCCGGCCGCCCCAAAGTGTCAAACCCAGTACCAAGGTTTTTTTCTGCACGAGAACAGCGCCAAGTATCCACCAGGCGTCCAGGACAGCTCTGAACGTGCCAGTAGTCCGTGGTCCGAGCTGGGCAACTGAGCCGGAGGGAGACTCGCTCTCCTGCTCCGCTCAATCCTTTCGCCTTCGGAGGGGGTAGTTTGGGGCTAGGCTAGGGGCGACTGGAGTGCCCAGATACGGCTGACACAGGCCGTGAGCAGTGTCTGCAGCCTCGAAAGCGCCACTCCGCAAAGATGCGCCCCCTCCCGCCTCCTACCCCCGTGTGGTCTGCGCGCCCCGGGTCCGCTCTGACCCAGGATCCAGAGTCCCACCCCGAGGACGGGCTGCGCGGGGTTTCTCCTGGTGGCAGTAAAAGGGGTTGTTGAGACCCCTGCGCTTCTCTAACTGACACGGAACCCGTCCAGCGCGGAACCGCGCTCTGAGTTTCCGAGGGCGCGCAGCAGGGCGGGGGCCGGACACTAGGTGCTGGACCTCTCAGTGCCCCGGCTTCCCTAGGAACACGCTGTGCCAGCCAAGTAGGTCACTGTGCTGATGGGGGACTGAGACCGGGAGGGGCCGGGGGCTTCTGGGGCGCCACTACCCCCCAGCCCGGGCGGGGTTCTGATCTCACTCGGCCCTCTCCCCGGGGTCTGCTTGTCACCATGAGTCACCTCCTTGCTTGCTCTCAAGGGACGTGTTCTGGCACATTCCCGAGGGCCGGGGACACAGCCTGCGCTGACCTCAGCGCCAAGCGAGAGTCGGTCAAGGCGATGTCGGGTATCTGGACTTCAGGAGCCTGGGTCCAGACGGCACCAACTGTATCTACAAATCCGAGAGCCGCCCGGGGTCCGAGTCCGCTTGAACTTGCTCCGCGTTCTCCCCGAGACCGCTCATGCCCCGCGGGGGCTTCCTGCCCACACAGCGAACTAGCTGCAACGCGAGTCCAGGGCGATCCCCTACTGCGACAAGCTCGGAGCGCGGCCCCACCCACGCCTTCCCAAGCCCTAGATGAGTTTCAAGGGGAAGGGCGCGTAGCAAGGGGTCCCTCATACTCTTGCCTCCCCCGCCTTGAGTATCCAGTACATCCGGAGGCCCCGCACACGCGTACTTACAGCCACTCAGCGCGCAAAGCGCAGCGCACAGCACAGACTCACGCCCGTCATTCACCTGCAGCAGAAACAACTACGAACGCAGCACACACCGACACACACACACGGACACACACGCAGACTCACTCAGCTCAAAGTCGCCGGCCCAGAGTCTTGCTCTTGCCTGCCGCGGCTCCCTCACCTCGTCTGAGAGTCTCGGTGCTTCTGTGAATCCGCGCCTGGCGCCTGGCCCCGGGTCTCCAAGCCACCAACTTCGGCAGTCGCTCGCTTGTACCTCAGCTGGTGCTGCCGCGCGCAGCCTTGATATAGCCACATCTCGGGCACGCCTCGGGAGGCGGGACCCGCCGCTCGGCCCACTGCGGCCGCCGGGGACCGCCCTTCCCCGGGGCCCAGGAGGCTCCGCGCCCGCGTCTGGGCGGGTTCCAGGCTTCGACTCTAACAGGTCTCTGAACCTTGTGAGCTGTAGCGGACGCTTCCCCCCCCCGCTTGCCTGGGTTTACGCACTCTACACATTTCTCCATAAATTGAGCCACAAATCCGGCTTTTTCCAGTTGGAGAGTAAGTGGGTGCTCTGCAGAAGGGGAACTGAGCTGTTAGGATGGGCCCTCCTCCCCCTTGCTGGCCCACCGACGACTGACTCTAGGCAAGGACTTACCCAACACGCTGAAAAAATCACGAGAAATGGTATTAATAAATAATAATCCATAAAAAAGAAAAAAATGATGTGCTTCACTTTGCAATTCCCAGAAAAGCTTCAGTATCCCACCACTCATTATTCTCACGGAGCTCTCA